TGTTTCCCTGAATGAATACACCTCTTTGAAAATACATAGCAACCTTTGGAAATATTTTGGAAATTTTTGAAAGTGTGTGGGATCTACTACCTTTGAAATGTATAACTACAAAATTTCAAAAATTGTGAAATTGTTTTGAAAATGTGTCAAAAATGTTTCCCTGAATGAATACACCTCTTTGAAAATACATAGCAACCTTTGGAAATATTTTGAAAATTTTTGAAAGTGTGTGGGATCTACTACCTTTGAAATGTATAACTACAAAATTTCAAAAATTGTGAAATTGTTTTGAAAATGTGCCAAAAATGTTTCCCTGAATGAATACACCTCTTTGAAAATACATAGCAACCTTTGGAAATACATATTTTGGAAATTTTTGAAAGTGTGTGGGATCTACTACCTTTGAAATGTATAACTACAAAATTTCAAAAATTGTGAAATTGTTTTGAAAATGTGTCAAAAATGTTTCCCTGAATGAATACACCTCTTTGAAAATACATAGCAACCTTTGGAAATATTTTGAAAATTTTTGAAAGTGTGTAGGATCTACACACCATCGATAAGTGTAACTAAAAAATTCAAAAATTTTGGGAATGTTTTAAAAATGTATAAAAAATGTTTCCCTCAATGGATACACCTCTTTGAAAATCGAGTTGAAAATACATAGCAACCTTTGGAAATATTTTTTTATTTTTAAAAGTGTGTAGATGACTTTGGAAATAATCTTGTGATATAAGTCGGAATTAATCTTGATCCCGAGATGTAAGTGAGGATTATTCTTAATCCCACGACTTCAGTCGGCATTATATCTAATCCTGACATCTCTAAAAAGCACTATGCGGGTCATTCTGTAATTGAGTACAGGCCTGTTGAGGGCCCAGAACAAGAGAGCGACTTTAAATAAACAAAATTAAGTTGGGGTTAGACTAGATACAATGCCGACTTATATCTCGGGTATAATCCCGACTTAGATGTCATGTTTAGATGTAATCCTCTCGTACATCTCGGGATTAAGTATAATTCCGACTTACCTACGTCTCAAGAATGCATAATTTGCACTCCCTTGTCTGTCCTATGCTTTCGTAACTATCTCTCCTCTTTCAAAGATAGTTTAAATTCAATTACCTAGGGCTGATCTAAAATCCCCCATACAATCACGTGTTTGCCTTCACGATAAGTGAATCGAAGCGATTACAGTACGGCAAATTATCATTGGCATACGAGAAGTACTGCTCGATTGGACTAAGCACAGACTGGGGCCCCCATTTGTTTCGGCTTTAAAGATGGGACATGGAAATGGAAAAACAATCGATTTCGTGATGTCAACAGGTCAAACACAAATGACAATAAAAATACGTACATGATCAATTCTCGTTGTTTTATTTGTTTAAAGCACTTTTGTCACTTAAGTCCCCTTATAAAACATCCCCCTTTGTCAAAATTGTCTTTCTTTAGGGAGATGATGTGAAAGTCAGCTGATCACAAGGATCAATAATTTGATTGAATGGGAATCGCTTTCCCATTGCTTAAAAAACGCATTTGATAAATGGTGCGAAACAGATGCTGTTTGTACAGTGGCGTACCTGTTGGGTATTTAATTTCCACATTTATTCAAAACAATACTTGAATAAATTCCAAGTGTTTGTCTAAATAATATGACCTTTATAGTTCTTAAAAACCACTGAAGATTACTCAAGATTTGTCACATGAACGTTACTAAAGCGAATAAAAGATTTTTGAAAGCATTTTAAGGATGTTCAAATGCTAAAAGCCAATTAAAAGCCTTAGATTCTTTCGTACGCTTTTGAAATTCTAATTCAAAAGTCTTTAAAGGCTCTCAAATAACAATTTTTTAAAGTTTTAAGAGATTTTTTTCATAAACTTTTGGAGAAATTTTAAAAAAATTCTTAGAAACTGTTAAGGT